AGTTATGCTATAAAGTTCACATCGCTCAAATAGACAATATACTTTATTTTATATGTACATGGAATATTTATGAAATAATAAGCATGTACTTGATCACAAAAAGGGAATAATTTGTGAAAATGACATTCTTGGATCATAACCCACAAACTCAGAAGCAAATAATAATAAGGTGACCAAAAAAACTTAAATACTTGAACTTCCAGATAACCTCTAGATTAAAGAAGAAATCAAAACTGAAGTGAAATACTATCTGGAAAGCACTAAAAAAGAGAAAAGCAAAATCTATGGGGCCCAATAAAAGCCATAGAGGAAATTTATCATCAGAAGCACCTATGCTGAAAAGCTAAGAAAGCTTAAACCCCAGTGCCTCTTACTGACAGGGGGCCTCTGAGGACTCCTAGCAATTTTTTTTTAAATAGTCACATTTTTACAAAGATGGCAAAAGTAAGATTTTTTTACATTCTTTCCCTTATAGGGCCTTCCTCCATACCTGCTCCAATAAGTTGCAGTCCCCACAACATTTGGAGCCATTCATTTTAGTTTACATTACTACAATGTCCCATAACCAGAGCTACCAGAAGGATGATGTTCCCAGACTATCAGCATTTCTCTACAAAGGACTGCTGGCCTTTTATAGGACAATTTTCTACTGAAAAGGACCATCTCTGGGCATTGCAAGATACTTATTTCCATCCTCCCACCTACCCGCTCCTGGGACTAAAAGCCAGTAGTCACCCCTACTAATTTTAACAGTCAAAAAAATGTCTCCCATGAGGGTAGAGAGAAAAGGTGGTACCAACCACTACTGAAAACCTACATGCTAGATTTTGATCTTGACCAGGTTTAGAAATAACAAGGGGTGGGGGGAGAAATTACAAGAAAATAAGGTTGGATTTTAAACCATCTTGGAGCTTCTCAAACAGGTTTCTAAATCTGTCATTTTATTCAGACCAAGACAGAAAGCGTCCTTAGAAAGCAAGACTCTTGCAGTGTCCAAATGGAAGAAACCCTAATTCAGAATCTATGTCTAAGAGTCCACAAGCCGAGATTCTGGCATCCAGAGGGAGCAGGTCTATTTTTAGCCGAACTACCTTCTCAGGTAAGTTTGTGATGGTTACTTCATTTCAAGTATCAGCTTTCCCCTTTGTGTGCACTCCTAGGAATTCTGAGAACTAAATTAGATAGTATGAGTAAAATGCCTACAAGGGTTTGGAGGACAGTGATTACCCCAACCTCAGCCCTCTTTGTGTCTCTGAGGAGTTTTTCTAGAACTGTGCCTGAAACCTGTCAGAATGCCATGCTGAAATCTTGGGGCATCTTTTGAAGTTGCCTTCCTTCTGGGAGGGTGTCAAAAACATTTATTTCTCCTTGGAAAAAATGAGAAATGGCCCGGGGTGCTATGCCATCAAACACAGCTGGGATGAATTTATGAGCTTATCATAGGCAGTGTTGATGGAGCCACAGGACTTTTGTTTTATAGACACTATCCTAAATGTGCAGTCATGAAAACGTAAGGGGAAAAGAAATATCCGGACAGGGCAAGTCAAAACATACTCATTATATAGTTGCTCACACAGAAATGTATTATAAGGAAACTGGACAAATCTAAGAGGCACAGATATATTCCTATCAGCACTATGTCCAATAGTGCAATTATGGCAGCCAAAATGCCACACACTGGGGAATAAATTAACTGAAATGTGGATCATAAACCAGAAGGTTGGATTCAATGCTAATAAAACCACTTCGGTTTTAAGATTCTATCATCCTATTTATTCACTCACAAATATATAACAAGAACCTGGTACAAGCCAGGTACAGTAAGTCCACACTTAATGCCATCAATAGGCTCTTGGGAACTGCAGCTTCAAGACAAATGACATATAATCAAACCAATGTTCCCTAATTGATATAAACCAGAGCTAAGTTCCCACAGCATCTTTCTGGTCACAAAAACATCACTAAACTTTATTAAATAGAGACCCAAAACACTTCTGGTATTAATAAACACTTCTGAAATAAATATGAGCTACACATACATTTAAGAAAGATGAATAAAGACACGGAAGGTAATGATCTACCCAATTATTCCAGTTTAGGGTTGAGAATGGCGGAAACCAATCCTGGACAGAACCCCATTCCATATCAGGGTACATTCACATGCACTCACACTCACACTAGGACTGGGCAGACACACCAATTTCCCAATAGGCACTTCTGTTGAATGTGGGAGGAAACCATAGTACCTGGAGGCAGTCCATGCAGACATGGGGAAAACCTGTAAACTTCATGCAGACCATAGCCCCAGTCAGGAATCCATTTTTATTTTCTTTCTCAACAATATTATAATAAAAGGACATTATAGAAGACCTGCTGTACTGTATTGGGTCCTTGGATATCAGGGAAACAAAAGTGTAAAGAAATAAGCAGCTGATGAATATATGTACATTATGACCCAGCAATTCCGCTCCTAAGTATATACCCAACAGAAATGCAGACATATGTACACCAAAGACATGAACCAAAGCATTCACAGCAGCACTACTGGCAACAGTTCTAAACTGGAAACAACCCCAAAATCTTATCCCCTTGCTCTCTTGCACTTTTGTCAAGATCTCCCACTAGGCTGGATCATCTGAATGCAAATATGCTCTATTTTATTTCCTGTTTAGCAAAGAAAACCACAACTGCTGTCAGTCCAGCCCCAGCCTTCTTAGTCGCCTTGCCTGGTGGTGTGTGTATGCACTGCCACTTCTCCAACCTCAGTCTCTCCTCTGCCTGCTGCAGCCAGGCCTCCCTTCTCTCCAGCCCATGGCAGATGCCCCTGGCAAGTCACTGGTGGCCTTCCAGCCCGAGGGTCACTTGCCCATCCTCATCTCCCTCAGCTTCTCAGCAGTATTAGTCATCGTTGACTGCTTCCTTCTGGAAGATTCTCTTTTTGGCATTTGTGGACCATACTTGCCTGGTTTTCTCCTCACCTCATTGGCTGTTCCTTCTCAGTTCCTCTGTTGGTCTCTCTGCTTTGCTCAATGCCTGGGTGCTAGAAAGCCCCAGGTTTGGTCTCATATTCACATTTTCCATATTTACATTTTCCATATTTACAATTCCCTTAGCAAAGCTCAGTCGGTCCGGGGGCTTTCCACTCCATCCATGTGCTGATGACTCTCAAAAATTTATCCCCAGCCGGGCTCGGTGGCTCAGCCTGTAATCCCGCGCTTTTGGGAGGCTGAGGTGAGTGGATTGCCTGAGCCCGCGGGTTCGAGACCCGCCTGGGCAGCGAGACCTCATCTCTACAATAAATCAAAAAATCAGCTGGGCGTGGTAGCGCATGCCTGTAATTCCAGCTACTTGGAAGGCTGAGGCGGAAAGGATCGCTGGAGCCCAGCAGGTCGAGGCTGCGGTGGCCGGGAGCGGCCACTGCACTCTAGTCTAGGCGACAGAGTGAGACTCCAACTCAAAAAAAAAAAAAAAAAAATTTTATCCCCATTCCCTAGTTATTGCTGATGGGGGTGCCTTGCAGGAATCTCAAAATCTTGACTTCCCTCCAAAATTGACCCTGTTCCCACCCAACTTTCTCCCATCTCATGAACTGCACAACTCTTCACCTAGTTATGTAAACCCTAAACAAAGAGTCATCCCTGACTATTCTCTTTCTTTCACACCCCATACCCAACATAAGCAAATCCTGTTAGCTCTATCTTCAAAATATAGCCTCAGTTTGACCACCTCTTACCTAACATACTAGTCCAAGCCACCACTACCTCCCCACTGGATATAACCACAGTGGCCTTCCTATGGATACTCTTGTTCCCATATGATGGATTCTTCACACAGCAGTCAGAGTACACTTTCTAAAACTATAAATCAGACCAATTACTTCCCTGCTTAAAACTCTCCAAAAAGCTAAAAAAAGTTGGTCTCATGGAGCTAGAGAGTAGAATGACAGTTACCAGAGGGTGAAAGAGGTGTGGGGTAGGAGAGAAGACGAAGAGAGTTGGTTAATGGGTATAAACATACAGTCAGGCAAAAAAAAAAAAAAAAAAAGTAAGTTTTAGTGTCCAATAGCACAGTTGGGTGATCATAGTTTACAATAATATATTGTGTATTTCAAAACAGCTAGAAGAGAAGATCTGAAGTATTCCCAGCATAAAGAAAGGATGTTTGAGGCGATGGATATCCTAAATATCCTGATTTGATCATTACACATTATATGCATGTATCTAAATATCACATGTACTCCATAAATATGTACAATGATATATCAATAAAAATGATTAAAGCAGAAATATATATTTAAATATTATACACACACACACACACACTCACACACACACACACACACTCTCTCTCCACTAGCTATCTACTGCACTTAGAATAAAGTCCAAACCTCATACATGCTCCAAAAGGCACATCATGACCCGGCCTCTATTCACCTCCTCTCCATTCTCTCTGCCCCAGTCACAGCTCTAATTTCTTCCATCTTTCTCACACATCCCATGCTCCCTCCCAGCCTTCACCCTGGATAGCCCTTTTCCTGGAACTCACTCCCCAAGCTTCTACACAAGTCACTGTCTCACTCACTCAGGTCACTGCTCAATGTCACTTTCCAGAAAGGTACTCCCCACCCACCCTGCCTATCGGGACCCTCTACACCCTACCTCACTCACCCACCTGCAGCCTCAATATCTTCTTCCCTGAGTACTTCCCTCTTTGCCTGTTACAAATCCATGGTTGCCTAGTTTACTTGCTTATGTTTTGTCTACCCTACAAGACAGTAGGCTCCATAGAAGCAGAGGGAGAACGTACCTGTGGATGAATGGAGGGTAGTGATGGGGAGAAGCAGCAGGCAAGGGCCGGTCACAGAAGACTGTACTGAGAGATGAACCCAACTCTAACAACAGACTCTACACACAAGGCTGTGAAGTGCCAGCACTTCCATATAGAGGAGAAACGGCCATTACCGATCATGAAAATGAAATCAGCAAATGTAACCAACATACCCTTTTCCTGACTGCACAGGCTGTTTGTGAAGACGGGAGGGTCAGAAACCTGGGGCAGAGAGGGGCAAGGGGTAGAGCTCCAGGATAGCAGGCTTCCCCTAGTGCTGCCAGGATTGCTCCCAAGCCTCATGAGCCAGTGATCAGACAGGGAGGAGCTGGTGGAGCCTGCAGAGAAATCAGAGAGAGAGAGGCTGGACCCAACCCCAGTTTCTGGCGTCCCAGATCCCCATCTCCACCCCCACCCTTCAGCCCTGTAACGAAGAACTGAAGCAGAACTGCAGAAACCAAAGTCAACGACCAGAGGAGAAACCTGTGACTGGATACCAAGCTTAAAATTTCTTTATCCAGTCAATTGTTGGTGGGTACTTAGGTTGCTCACAAATATGGAAATAATAGACACTGGGTACACCAATAAGAGGAGAGGTAGGAAGGAGGTTGGGGTCTAGAAACTACCTATGGGGTACAATGTTCATTATCTGGGAAATGGGCCACCTGAGAACCAACCCCCACCACTACACAAGACATCCATGTAACAAACATGCATGTGTACGCCTTGAATCTAAAATTTAAAAACAAATGTTTAGGGAGAGGCATGTGGGCTCAGAAAGGAACGTCTGTTGATGAGTACTAAAATGCTTTCCATGGAATTACTTATCACCAACTCTGGCTTCCTAAATATGTTTTTTGTTTTTGTTTTCCAGAGCCAAAGGCCTTTATTACAGCAATAACCAGAGCTAGAGTTTTTAATCCCTAGAATCATATTCCCAGTTCCCATAGGTGAGCAGGTAATATGCTATGTTACAGAAGTGTGCTCTAAATTTAGAGAAACAACCTATTTTATCATGAGCATTTAGGACGCCTACCCTTTGCTCTGGAGGGAGACGTCTTTATTACACTGGACAGTAAAGAAAACTTGCCTTTTGCTAATATGATGGGGGTTTTTTTTGTTCTTTCAATGTCTGCCTTCTAGAAATGGAACAGCCATACTTGCATTAGGTTTGATTTAGACCTGCTGACTCTTGGGTGTATTTGGCCATTTTCCAATAACTGTTAGTAGAAAATCTGTTTAATTTTTTTTTGTAATGTTCTCTTGTCCCAAAGATAAGGATGTCTGGTTTGCAGAGTGAAACAAATCACATAAAAGGGTCAGCTCTGGCACTTTCTTTCTCTAGACTTCCAAGCAAGTTTGATGCTGTCTAACAAATTAATTGCTGAGGTGTAGTTAAGGAGCTAAGCTTCCTAGAAAAGTCTGGCATCCCTTATAACCGCTCCTCCCTTTCTAACAGGATTAAGCATTGTTTTTAATTAAATCTGGCTTGATATTAGTAAGATTGGAAAGGTGAGATTCCACATTGCCAGTGTCGCCTGCCCCAGACACAAAAATTTATTTTTTTTTCCTCTTTCTTGCATGACAATACATCCATCCCACAGTCTAACAAATAAGCTACTAGCCTCTGGGACTCAGATTTCCATAGCAGCAGCCAGGGCTTCCTCTTTCAGATCCTTGCCTACTTCTCCTGGGCCTTGATGTTTGACAGAGCATATCCCAATTCTTAAAGTGACCTTCCCCAAGCCCCTCTCCTGCAATGAGCAACAGCACCTACCTCTCATGGAACTGCTGGCTGACCAGGGAGGGATGCTGTTCTGCTTCTGATAGAATAGGATGTAAGCCCCTCTAGTGTTGACTTCATCTTCTCGAAGTGGTTCCACTGTGCTGTCATCGTAACTATACCACCGGCCATCCAGAGAGTTCCGACAGTAGGCTGCAAAGGTCCAAACCCCAAGCCTCAATTATTGGAACCTCAAATGGCAAAAGAAGACACTTCCCATGGCATAGCTGAAAAATGGACATGTTTATAACAAAATGAGGGGGAAAAAGCAGACTATTTTTGGCCAGAAATGAGTATTGTGGGATCAGAAAAGCTTAACAAAGTTATACTCCCAGATTCTTACTGATAGAGTGTTCGGGTCATCTGAATCCTTATGTTGTAATCCTTACTCAGGCACAGTCTCTAATAAAAGGGAGCCCCTAAGCCATGTAGCTAGACAATAACTTTCACTCTCATTTCTTCTGAGAAGCTTCAAAATAATGCACATCTCTGATTAAGTATGTAATGAAACCAAAACTGAGAATCACAGTTGGGATTATGGAATGCCTCTTTCTTACCTAAGAACAGAAGTCAAACATTTAAGAAGATTTTACAACTATAACAAAACATCCCTCTCCTTGTCCTCCATATCTCAGTGAATAGCACAGTAACCCACTAATCTGAAGGTTTGCAAACTCTTTTCATAATGGGCCAGACAGCAAATATTTAGTTTAGGCTTTGCAGGCCACATACGGTCACATGTGTTCTCTGTCACATATTCTGCCTGTTCATCCTTTTTTCCCACCTTTAATACTGCAAAATTTATTTTTAACTCATAAACAGGCCCTGGACTGGATATAGCCCAAGGACCATAGTTTACCAACCTCCGCACCCGTCCAAGCCAGCCATGTAGAGTTCATTTTTGCTCTCTCTTTTCCCTTTCACCTCACACCCAGTCCAAAAGCCAGCCCTACTGAGTCCACTTCCAAAGTGTGTCTTGAACACTTGACTGTCAACTCCCACATCCCAGGCAATAGTGTTTCTCCCCTGAGCCCCAGAAGCATCCTCCTACCCGGAATTCCAACTTCTCCTCTTGTTCCTTTCTATCCAGTATCCATAGAACAGAGCAGCTAGTTCAACCTGTACACGAGGTTATGTTTTTACTCCTCTGCTTAAAACCTTTAAGTGGCTTCCCATCACCCCTTTGGGAAAAATGCAAACTTTTATTCATGGTCTAGAGTGCACTGTGTAATCTGACCCTGCCCACTTCTCCAGCTCCATCTTGTATCACCGAATATTGAACTACTACACTTTAGCCATGACAGGCTCTCAACATTTCTTAAACATACCAAACACCTTCTGCCTTGGGCCTCTGCACATGCTAGCAGCTCTGCCCATCATTCACATCGTTCTACCTCATCTTTAGCTCTTGGCCTACATGTGACATCCTCAGAGAGGCCTTATCTCTTTCACACACACAATCAGTTCATCAGTCACCCTTTCAAAGTGTCAGGTAGCAAAAGTGCTAAAATGGCAAATATTCTTTCATTGTCTGTCTCCAAAATCAGACTGAAGTCTCATGAGGGCAGGCCTCATATTTGTCTTGTTCATCACTGAAGCTCCAGCCCCTAGCACAGAGTCTGGCACAGGATGGGTACTTCAATATTCGTTCAATGAATGAATAAGTAAAGAGCCTGGGTTTCTATACAGTTCAGTGTTTTCCAAATTTCAGGCCATTGGCCCATTAGCACACTGGTAATCAGTGCATGTTTTTAAAAAATAAAATATTTTAAAGGGTTTTTAAAAAATTAAACATTATTCTAGAACAAACCAAACTATATCACATGTAGTAAACTTATCGTCTCATAAAACTTTTGTTTAGCCTGAATATATGTATGTACACATAAACACATCCACATATATAAATCGATGCACATATTAGGTCATGATGTAACCCAGCATGTCAAGACATTTAGTCACTGAGTCAAGTGCCTCGCCATATTATTTTATTGCACTTAAAATCTTTTAAGCTTATTTTGACATGCAAAACGGCAAAAAAAGAAACTCACTAAAAACAAAAAATACATCTATGGTATGATAGCATCTATGTAACACTACACAGTAGCACAAAAGCTACCAATTGTCAGAGCCTACCATATGAGAAGTGTCTCATACATGTTAGTTCTAATCATAAAAATTCCAGGCCGGGCACAGTGGCTTAAACCTGTAATACCAGCACTTTGGGAGGCCAAGGCAAGAGGATTTCCTGAGCTCAGGGGTTTGAGACCAGCCTGGGCAAATTGGTGAGACCTCATCTCTACAATAAATCAAAAAATAAGCCAGGAGTAAGTAATGCACACCTGTAGTTCCAGCTACTTGGAAGGCTAAGGCAGAAGGATTGCCTGAGCCCAGCAGGTAGAGGCTGCGGTGGCTGTGAGCATGCCACTGCACTCCAGCTTGGGCAACAGAGGGAGACTCTGACTCAAAAAAACAAACAAACAAACAAACAAAACTGGGCGCAGTGGTTCACAGCTGTAATCCCAGCACTTTGGGAGGCGGAGACGAGAGGATTGCCTGAGCCCACGGGTTCAAGACCAGCCTGGGCAGCATGGTGAAACCTAGTATCTACAATAAATCAAAAAATTACCCGGGCGTGGAAGGCTGAGGCAGAAGGATCGCCTGAGCCCAGCAGGTTGAAGTTGTAGTGGCTGCAAGCAGTGTGCCACTGCACTCCAGTCTGGGTAACAGAATGAGACTCTGACTCAAAAAAAAAAAAAATTCCTGCAAGTCAGGTACCCTCATCACCCACATTGCAGGATGACTGCCTGGGACTAACACAAACAAGAAAGTCATGGAGTGAACAGTAGGAATGAAGGGGTCACTGGGATTACACAACGCAGAGTACTAGCCACTCTACGATCACAGCTGGTCACTGGAATTACAGAGCATTAAGTTATATTTCTTATGCCCTAAAGTATGAGGTCTGAGATCCACACATACTATACTCATATTTGCCACAGGTCCTTCACTGGGTAAATTGTGGCAAAATCTTGATCTTTTTAAGAATGCAATCCATCTCCCTTTGCTAATACATACTCCGACATAGGCTCAATTTTTCCCAAGTTCTCATCAATGGCTAAGGACAAAGCCTGAGTCGCTAACTCCTGGTCAATGGAGGGAAAAGGGAGGAACAGAATCAGCTAGGGTCCATTTTATTGAAAAATGTTTTCACTCATGAATAGACAGACAAAAATAGACAGGTCAATGGGTAGAATACCAAAGTCCAGAAATAGACCCAAACATAAAAAGTTGCTATCTGATATGGTAGATAGCATCACAAGGGATAAGGTGAGCTTTTCCATTAGTATTGGTTTTGGGACAAATTGGTACTTTCGGGATGGGGGGGAGAATAAATTGAATTCCCCTCTCTCAAGAGCCACCAAGAAACTCCAAATTGAAGATTTAAATGTAAAAACAAAAACTGGCTGGGCATGGTGACTCAAGCCTGTAATCCCAGCATTTGGGAGGCCAAGGCGAGAGGATTGCCTGAGCCCGCAGGTTCAAGACCAGCCTGGGCAACTTGGTGAGATCTCGTCTCTAAAATAAATCAAAAAATTAGCTGGGTATGGTAGCATGCACCTGTAGTTCCGGCTACTTGGAAGGCTGAGGTGGAAGGATTGCTGGAGCCCAGTAGGTCAACACTGGGGTGGCCGTGAGTGTGCCACTGAACTCTAGTCTGGGTGATGGAGTGAGACTCCAACTCAAAAAAGAAAAGAAAAGAAGAAGAAAACCGAAAACCACAGAAATAGCAGAAAACACCGAAAAAAGCAATTGTTAATCTTAGGGTGTAAAGGACTTTCTAATCACTACTTAAAATCCAGAAACCCTAAAATAAATATATGAATAACAATCTAGCTACCTGGAGAAGCAAAAATGAAGACCTTCTTCATGGCAAAAAAAAATTACCACAGGAATAGTCAACAGACAGATGTTACACAGGGAACAAATATTTGACATTATGTTACAGACAGGGGGAAAATCTCATAACATATTAAGAATTAGAGCATCTACAAATTAATGGGGACAAGACTAACAATCCATTTAAAAACAGTCAAAGGACATAGACAGATAGTTCTCAGACAAGGAACCACAACGGCTCAAACATGAGATGATGCTCAAGCTCACACTAGCAAGAAGTTCAGTCTTAAATTATACCGAGACACCATTTTCCACCTAGTAGATTGGTAAAAATCCAAACATTGAAGAGTATATTCTATTGGCAAGACAATAAGAAAATAGGCATTATCTTACTTGTAGGAGTACAAATTCCTAAAACACTTTGTGTGGGGCACTTTTTAGTATTTGTCAAAACACAGACCCAGCTACCCCAATTCTGAGAATTTATCCTATCAGCAAGTTTCTCACATGTAGAAAATGGCAAACATAAAGGGTTATGACAGCAAAATTTGTAATAGCAAAAGAATGAATTGGCCCAATGTCCATCTACTGGATACTTATTTAATAAATGGTTATATTTATTCAGTGCCTATAGAGAAGAACAGAGAAGCTTTCTATAAATGGAAATATAGAAAGATTTCCAAGACAGATTTTAAAGAAAAAAAAAATGCCAGGTGCAACACAGCAAACAGTACTTTTACTTAAATTGGAGGTGGGGAAGAAATACATGAGATAAATGTTGCTGGACAGATTAAGATACATTCATAATTGATTATAGTTACATAAAGAAATTATGGAAGAATAACAACAGAAAACAACTATTAAACATGGTTACCCATGGACAAGGAGGGAGAAGATAAGGAATACAGATGGGGCCAAGCCTTTTCACTATCCATCTTTTTTGAGGCTGTGTGAGTTTCAAAATATAGAAATACACTGCCTATTCGACATATTTAAAATGAAACAGAAGGCATTTGAGATTTCTAAAAATCTGAAATGGCTGTACTTGCAGAAAGCAAATGAACTAAAAAGGAATAAGCCCACAATGTCAAAAGACAATGGGAGAGAAAGAAACAGCTCAGGTGTTGAGAGCCCAACAAGCAGAGGGAGTAGTGATACCTATTGTCCAAGTGGAGGAAGTTCAACTCAGAGGTGGGGATGAAGGGGTAAGAAGAAAGCCATTCACCTTGCTACACTCCCCAGGGGCTCTGTACCGG